AGCTAATCAATTTCGATACGATAGCTTCGTAGCGCTATGCTTAGTTATTTGGCGTCTTGAAAACGTGCATTTTTCCTTATCGGATGAAGTAACAGTTGGCTGAAGATGTTCATGTTTTTGTCAGACTTTTGCTACCAGCCTTGGGCTGTGTAAAGTTAACATAACATTCAATGTGATACGAGTGTAAAGACCAGCGTCGGCCTGCAAATAAAAACCTATTAACTATATTATTTCTATTAACGTTAGAAATAAATTTTCCTGCATCTGAGTATACTGGGACGTGAAAAGAACTGAACATTTCAGTAAAAGAAGCTCTAGTTCTTCATGCGTTCATTTGCTAAATCGTGTCGGCGAATTAAGTAAATTTTTCGCGGCGTCTGGTGGTTCACCAACTTCATGCCATCAATCATGGGTTCTTAGCAATATAGTTTGATATATCACGTTGAACGCTCGCAACTCATTGACGCAGATAAATTTTCGAGGTCAAAGCCGTAGCTTGGTAATGAAATGCTGCCGTGGCCGTTAAAAATGGCATGTATCGCCTCAAACTTGCTTGTGTTGCCTCAAACTTGCTTGTATTACCTTAAACTTGCTTGTATTACCTTAAACTTGCTTGTATTACCTTAAACTTGCTTGTATTGTCTCAAACTTGCTTGTATTACCTTAAACTTGCTTGTATTACCTTAAACTTGCTTGTATTACCTTAAACTTGCTTGTGTTGTCTCAAACTTGCTTGTATTACCTTAAACTTGCTTGTATTACCTTAAACTTGCTTGTATTACCTTAAACTTGCTTGTATTACCTTAAACTTGCTTGTATTGCCTCAAACTTGCTTGTATTACCTTAAACTTGCTTGTATTACCTTAAACTTGCTTGTATTACCTTAAACTTGCTTGTATTGCCTCAAACTTGCTTGTATTGCCTCAAACTTGCTTGTATTGCCTCAAACTTGCTTGTATTGCCTCAAACTTGCTTGTATTGCCTCAAACTTGCTTGTATTGCCTCAAACTTGCTTGTATTGCCTCAAACTTGCTTGTATTGCCTCAAACTTGCTTGTATTGCCTCAAACTTGCTTGTATTGCATCAAACTTGCTTGTATTGCCTCAAACTTGCTTGTATTGCTTCAAACTAATTTGAGGCAATACAATCTTGATATTGTTTGAATAACTCAAAATTGAATTGTTTTTGAGATCATTAAATTTCTCGAATCGCAGATTTTTTTGGTTATATTGCTTCAAAATATTGCGTTCATATACTGTATGATTCAATTCAACATGTAGTTTTTAAATCCCACTGAATGCATTCGAGGCATTGCATAAATTATGTCGTGTAGCCTTTACGGTGAGATTCTGGCAGCTGAATTAAATATTTACAGAAGCGAATCACTGCTAAAAATTAAGTAAATTCATATTGAATTCGAAAGGGATGGTGTTCAAACGTCGTTCAAATATAAATTATAAGAGGAAGGAATAGTTTCGATTTATCTCATTGTTCCACCGCGTCCTCTAATTTTTCTTTGCTGTTGAAGACAGCCTGGATAACGAAATCATCTCCAACTTTATCGTTATAATATGAATAATCTAATATCCACGTTTCACAACTGCAAAAGATTGTTTAGTTTGAACTAATTTCGCTCCTCTGTCCCTGATAAAAAATTCAATATTGCTCTCAAGAATCTTCTGAATTTTCTCAAAAATTCATATTATTTTTCTCTCTCAATAGAAGGCATTGAAATTCATGTCGATGTATCGATCTTATTTTCAATTAAGGGACGATGTAATTGCCTCTGTTCGCGAGGAGGCAAATTGATATTGCCAGTCGGACTGATTGAACCATAATTGACACGAGCGTTCAGGGATCATTGCCCCACAGACAGACTATAAACATAATTATTCATAATAAAAAAGCTGTAATCATTCATTCAAGCTATTGGTATGAAATTCTAACAAGAAAGTTGTAAAAGTTTTTAATTTATTCATCCTAACAAACCTAATAGAGGACTTTCATTTAAAAATTCACTTGTTCGAAACATGATACAGAACAACATGAACATAAAAGCTAGGAGAGGTTGACTTTGACTGCATCTGTGTAGCGGTCACTTTTTGCTATATTTCACGAGAAGTTCTCTCTCTTCGACATATTATAAAAATTTCACTATCAACTATCTATTAATTTACATGTTGGAATGATATTGCCCATGAAATCTTTATCACCATAAATTTCGAACAAATTAGATTTTGCAAGCAAAGAAAAAAAGCTCCAATGAAAGTTCCCAATGCCTAATTTCTTATTCATATTTGGTTTGAAATGTATCTCTGTTAGGTACAATATAGCATATAGTATTGTGTAATGTATTTTATTTAAAAATTATCTTTAAATGATCAAAGTAGCACTTTGATGCTTTTTGTAAAGAAGAATGCTGTAAAAATTCCAGCAATGCTTGTAGTGATCAATAAAATTAATTTTTTTATCCGTGTATAATAATTGTTTCTTCCCAAATTCTCATGCGCTGGTAGATATCAACCAGAACGAGAAAGCGTATCGTTAAAATGGATTATTATTATTCATTCCTTTTAAACCACTCTAATCTGAACTATGCATCGACTTACAATATTTTGCAAATGTTTGTCGTCAAATCAGGAGAACTGTTTTAATAACAAAATATCGAAAGGCCTACAAATTTGCTTCTACCTTACATTAAGAACTGCAAAATCCATTGGATCATATTTTATCCTCGGATTTCGGTGCAAATTTGATTGTACGTTAAGTTCCATTTAAGGGTTTTTTGCATAACTACGTGGGGAAGAAGCCGCGTTCTTTCTAAGGTTAAGCAACGTTTCATTTGAAGGTAAGACTCGTTTTATCCAAAGGTTTTTCTCTTACCTACGTGGAGAAGAGGCATGCGCCATCAGAGTAATTATACACCCACGTGAACTAAAATCTCAAAACTTAGAATATTATAAAAATATGATTCCCTAATAGCTAAGTGTTCCACTCTGTGTTCTAAATTTGTAAAAAGCAAGGAAAATTTTTTACATTCGTAATTTTGATGCGTAATCAAATGTTGGAACCAAATTCCGTGGAGTTACTAAAATAAATTTGTAATTCACGACTCCAACCGTCGTAATAAATTCTACGACAATTTCATTATTTGAACTTTTGAACTTTGAACATGAGAAAAGCAATTGCATGTTCATAAGGAATCGTGTGAGTGTTGATGGCTTCAAATAATTGTTTTCTCCAGTTTAGACTGAACGATGAAGTTATTCAAAATATCAGTTCGTGCACAGTCGGCAAAAATCAATAAGCCTAACATTAGCAAATTTTCTTTCAATTGTAACACAAGTACACGATACGGATACTGTATCAAACCATTCTCAAGCGAAGACATTGAGCATCATTCGAAAATTAAAATATTCACGAGCTGCAGAGTGCGTCGAACTTCAATAACTTTAACAGAAAGCCTCATGAGATACAAGGAAATGAAAGAAATCAAGAATTATTTTAACAAAATAAGAAAAATCACCGACTTTCTCCTATGAACTTAAATATTTCTTGGAATTGTTACTCCCTTTATTGAGTAAATGTTCTGCCTAGGTGCATGAGTCACCATATGGGCATATTGATTCAGTCAGCGACTGTCGGCGGCAGGAGCGGCAAACCAACCGTTACTCACGGCATCCAGCCACACACTGAGTCTCGTGGTCTGAATGAATGTAGTAGACCTGACGCTCACTACATCAGTTATAATACGCTGGACTCTCAGGGACCGGCTTAGTTTATTTTTATGAGGGTCAAAGGGAAAAATTGAGGGTCAAAGGGAAAAAAAAGAAGTTGATTTCTGGAAATTTTTTTATATAGCTTCAGATCCAAGACTCTGATTTGAAAAAAATGTAATTTCATTTCAAAGCGCTACAACAATATATTTTTGTTATGTTACTGAGAAGCCACAAATGATTGAAATATATATATCATGCGTTTATTTTGCTGAGCTTAATCTAACTAGGCTGCGCTCATTTACGTAGTTCCTCCACTCTTTGCCTTAATGAGACACTAATTTAGTGTTTGATACACATAAATGCGGATACATGACTTTATATTGGTTTGCAATAACATATATATCACTGTATCAGCAATAAAAACATTACAATAATATAAATATATTTACAAATCTCAAGGATGAGAGGTAGTACGCACAGAAAAAAAGTACGTTAGAAAAATGACGAGTGTGCTATCGTATTTACAAAATTATTTAGCCTCTAAAACATTCATTAGTAGGACAAAAGAAAACGACCCTATCACTTATTGCTAGTCAAAACGTACAGTAATAAATGTTCAATGTGGCGTTTTTCTGGCGGTAAAAAATTTCGCTTCAGCCGTTACCTCAATTTGGAATGCAATTTTTTTGATGATCATCGATGCAAGTTTTATTTTAATCCTTCGAGTGATTGATTAGCTCATCATTGATCATTCGACGAATCCTGGAATCCGTTAACATTTCCGCGCAATTGATGGAAGTAATCGAAGCCTGAGAAAATTCTAGCCAACATTCGTGATACAATTGATTTCAATATAAGTTGATTCAAGTGAGCTTCTTGGTCAAAGACGGATGAAATTTCTCCCCCCGATTGAACTTTGCTAACTTCACATGAATTCTGACGCTGAAGTTCTTCTTGTAAACTAGCGTGACACTCTCTATGGATCGACAGAGACATCACGGACGGCCTGCGCACCGGGAAGAAGGCGAACATTTTCTAAGGGTTTGGCGAGCCTTCAGGATACGTTTTTTCGACACCTAAAAGTTTCTTGTCATCTTCATCAAGCAGAAGCCATTTACCAAACACAGCAACTTCAGAAGTAGCGCAATGAAGGATGTCTTGTTGATGACGATGCTGTTCACAGGTGTGCGGATCCTGCAGCATATCCACTGCCTGCATGAAGTCCAAGTTGCGGACAAGTTCGTCGTACTTCGGACAACCCAAAGTTTCCATGTTGATCAACTACACATCGCTACCCACGAAGCGCCGTACGACCGCCACTTCGATGATACCTCCTTTGAAGAAAACTACGTCGTATCGCTGAAGAACTTCAACTAAGTCGTCTATCATAATGGACTCTGCAGGGCCGTCTACAACCTTCTCTTCGTTAATGTCGTAAATGGAGGCTCTAGTGCACTTCAGTAAAATGGTTTCCTAATTTTTAATCGATTGAAAATTTATATCTAAGACAGCTAGTTTCATTTCTGTGAGATTTTCCTCGTCAAGAAGAACATCTAAGTCTGGGTTTGATTCCGATTCATACTTGATTTCTCTTCCCGATGAACATTTTGCTTTTGTCGCAGACATGATGAACTTGAATGGCCTGGGTGGCTGTTCATTCATGGGCTCAGCACTTGGAACGCTTGACGAGCTTAAGTTCTCATGGAGATTAGTTATCGGAAGCAGTAATATCTAAGGTCGTTTATTGAACTCTAGAATTTTTTCCTCTTGGATTGTCTCAAGATTTATGAAAGTTTCCCCGCATGTCTCGCTGTGATTTACAGGCACCGAGCCAGATGCTGGTGGACACGAAGCCTTTGTATCTGCTGTCTAGCTCATGATATCTATCTCCATTTTTTACTCTAATTAGAGTTGATGCAACTGATCTTCAAGGTCATCGCTGAGTTGACCAGAATATTTCGCCGTCATTTCAGTGGAAGTGCAGTTTTTGTCGTCAGCCTCGTCATTCGGGACAAATTCAGGACCTTGTCCCGTCATTAAGCCTGCGTGGGCGCTTGCATGATATTTCGAGCCATCGTTCCTCGTGTCTTTAATATTCGAGGCGTCGTCCTACATTCCACAGAGCAAATATTCTCTCTCTCTGATTTTTAACTTCGGCTCTAACTCTCCGTCTTACCATTATAATACCACGGTATCACATCTACAGCTTGAGCGCTCAAAATAAATACCTATATAGCCTCGCTGTTAACACGAAAGTAATGAAAACAATTTTGTCTGTGAAAATTTAACTTCAGAGGCGATTCGGGTCAGATGTGAAAAAATTTAATTTATTTTAAGTCACAATATTGTTATTTAATGACTAGAAATATATAAGAATATTAAACAAAATTCCAGCAATTGTATATTTAATTTTCCTGTTCGACGTTGCAGAATTCCCTGACATATATTGACCAAATTCTCGTACTGTAATGAACATATTTTGGAAATATGTCAAGTATGAACTACCAACAAACAATTTTTCTTATCAGGGCAAACTAAATCAGAATAGAATGACTTCTATCTGGAACTACACGTGCCTGAGTAATGATCTTCTCCCGTTTGCGGTGGCAATCCTTCTGATCTAATAAGCGTTTTCGGTCTTCTATATAAAATATATATAAAAGATAAAAGAATTCAATGCTAATTTTTGCTGGGAATAAAATGTTGGCGTAAATCAGAATTGCTGGAACAGTACTTTGACGCTTGAGAATATTGCTTTTATCCCACTTTGTCGGCATCCGGCCATGGGCCTATTTCTTCAGTGCCGACACTTCTATTCTATTCTATGTGTCCGACAATGTAGCAAAAGTGTGCATTCACGGACCAGAGTAGACGTTGCTGGAAATAAGCAGGTGAGATTAGGGAAGTCAACATGGCTTGGGGGAGTCAACATGGCTCGGGGGAGTCAACATGGCTTGGGGGAGTCAACATGGCTTGGGGGAGTCAACATGGCTTGGGGAGCCAACATGGCTTGGGGACGTCAGCACAACTTGGGGAGTCAACATGTAGTGGGGGAGTCAACATGGCTTACGGGAGTCAGCATGGCTTGGTTGAAAAGTAGATGGATGAGTTGTAAATTTTGTGACCCAAAGATTTGTCACTAATTCCCGGAATTTGGAACCAAAAACTCAGGATGCTAAAATGTGACAGATTGATAACACACTCACTGGCACTGTGCTGAAGTACAGCTGAGGACAGATGTGGCTAGAACGAGGGCCTGTATTTGAATGCTAAATTCTATTAATATCGAAATTATTCCATAGAAAAGCCCCCGTTTTCAAAGAAATTCAAGGTACTAAGTATCGTCATCACACAAAAGCGTGCTCTGAGCTACGTACTAAGTGTCGTCATCACCAAAAAATTCCACTGAAGTTGGAGATACTTATCTGCATGTGGGGTTTGGGAGAAGTTGTAACGAAAAATAGAAGGGTTACTCAATGAAGTTTTTTCTTTCAAAGATTCATCTCACACGGACTGAAATATTTCAAGGGATGACTCTGCTTTAGGATTAATTTCATATAAGAATCACACTCTTCGTCCTGTGGAGTCTACGCTTCATTTCTCACGCTGTGGAGTCTACGCTTCATTTCTCACGCTGTGGAGTCTACGCTTCATTTCTCACGCTGTGAAGTCTACGCTTCATTTATCACGCTGTGGAGTCTACGCTTCATTTATAACGCTGTGAAATCTACGCTTCGTTTATCACGCTGTGGAGTCTACTTTTCATTTATCACGCTGTGGAGTCTACGCTTCATTTATAACGCTGTGAAATCTACGCTCCGTTTATCACGCTGTGGAGTCTACGCTTCATTTATAACGCTGTGAAATCTACGCTCCGTTTATCACGCTGTGGAGTCTACGCTTCATTTATAACGCTGTGAAATCTACGCTCCGTTTATCACGCTGTGGAGTCTACGCTTCATTTATAACGCTGTGAAATCTACGCTCCGTTTATCACGCTGTGGAGTCTACGCTTCATTTATAACGCTGTGAAATCTACGCTCCGTTTATCACGCTGTGGAGTCTACGCTTCATTTATAACGCTGTGAAATCTACGCTCCGTTTATCACGCTGTGGAGTCTACGCTTCATTTATAACGCTGTGAAATCTACGCTCCGTTTATCACGCTGTGGAGTCTACGCTTCATTTATAACGCTGTGAAATCTACGCTCCGTTTATCACGCTGTGGAGTCTACGCTTCATTTATAACGCTGTGAAATCTACGCTCCGTTTATCACGCTGTGGAGTCTACGCTTCATTTATAACGCTGTGAAATCTACGCTCCGTTTATCACGCTGTGGAGTCTACGCTTCATTTATAACGCTGTGAAATCTACGCTCCGTTTATCACGCTGTGGAGTCTACGCTTCATTTATAACGCTGTGAAATCTACGCTCCGTTTATCACGCTGTGAAATCTACGCTTCGTTTATCACGCTGTGGAGTCTACGCTTCATTTCTCACGCTGTGAAGTCTACGCTTCATTTATCACGCTGTGGAGTCTACGCTTCATTTATAACGCTGTGAAATCTACGCTCCGTTTATCACGCTGTGAAATCTACGCTTCGTTTATCACGCTGTGGAGTCTACGCTTCATTTCTCACGCTATGAAGTCTACGCTTCATTTCTCACGCTGTGAAGTCTACGCTTCGTTTATCACGCTGTGGAGTCTACGCTTCATTTCTCACGCTATGAAGTCTACGCTTCATTTCTCACGCTGTGGAGTCTACGCTTCATTTCTCACGCTGTGAAGTCTACGCTTCGTTTATCACGCTGTGGAGTCTACGCTTCATTTACAACGCTGTGAAATCTACGCTTCGTTTATCACGCTGTGGAGTCTACTTTTCATTTATCACGCTGTGGAGTCTACGCTTCATTTATAACACTGTGAAGTCTACGCTTCGTTTATCACGCTGTGGAGTTTGCGCTCCATTTATCACGCTGTGAAGTCTAACATAGTGATAATTTAGGAGGAGGTCGCGACCGTTAAGCGTGGAGCCGGCAAGTGAAATGAGAGCTTCTCTGGCGGATCTCTGCTTCAAGTATTGCACAAAACCGTAGCCCAGCGACTTGTCACCCTTGCGGGCAACCACCACCGACATCACTTCTCCCGTACTGCTGAAGTGTTTTTTGATGTCTTCCTCCGTGGCGTCCAGCGGTAGGTTCTGGACGTAGAGCGTCGTGTGGGGCTCCGGCTCCAGCGTTGGTGTTTCCGACTTCTTAGTCTTCGTTTATCACGAAGACTAAGAATATCTACGCTTCATTTATAACGCTGTGAAGTCTACGCTTCATTTCTCACGCTGTGAAGTCTACGCTTCGTTTATCACGCTGTGGAGTCTACGCTTCATTTCTCACGCTGTGAAGTCTACGCTCCATTTATCACGCTGTGGAGTCTACACTTCGTTTATCACGCAGTTTAGTAGACGTTCCGCTTATCATCTTGTTCAGTCTACCTTTTGTTAATACACAGTGCAACATTCTCAGACATATTTGTTCAATATGACCACCATTATTTTTTAAGACGGCCTCCAATCTACGCGGGAAAACTTCACAAGAGGCACGCAGCATTTCTTGAGGGATCAAGTCCCATTCTCGTGTCCAATTTAGACTACAAACTATCCAAAGGATCATGAGGTCTTCTGCAGACCCTACTCTCTAAAATAGCCCACACAGAAAATTCGAGAGGGTTCAAATCAGGGCTTCTTGAGGGCTATTCATTTTTGCTAATGAACGCTGGGATGTGACCCTGAATCCAGTTTTGGGTCATGTTTGAGCCATGTGATGGGACAGAGTCTTGTTGAAAACTCCATGGTGAGCAGTTGAAGTGTTTACGGGCCCAAGGTAACAACACAGCTTCCAAAATGCCCGAAATATATCTCTGACTGTTCAATTTCACTCCTGAGGGGCAAAAAAGAGTGGGGACCTCCCAGTGACGGTTACCGCGGCCCAAACCATCACGGTCATGGGATTTTGACGTCGTGTTGCTGTTCTGGTTGCCACAGATCCATCCCGACTCCAAACTATGATCATTTAACGCTTTGTTCTCTGTCAAAATTTTTCTCGTCACTGAACACCAAGTTGGGCATCGTTCCATCCTTAATGAGATCCAGAATGTGCTGGCATCTTTCGAGCCTTATTCGTTCATGACGGTCTGTTAGTTCATGCCTTGTTTGCATCTTGTAAGGGGAGGTTTTGAGGTCATCTTCGAGGACTCTACGCATTGATGTCTGACCCTGCTTTTGCAGCCAATTTTGCAGCAGAGCGACGAGGGTTTCTCCTCAACTTCTCCCTCGTGTTTTTGACCAATTGTTTTGTTCGGACACTTCGTTTCCTTCCTTGACAAGGTCGATTGCATGTTTCACCAGTTTCCCTGATTTTTTTACCACCTTCCATACAGTTTCACGACGAATTTGGAGCTTTTTTGCAATGACTGAATTACTCTCGCCCTTTTCATGAAGGGTTACAATTACATTTCTATCTACTGCCATAAGTAATAGTAAATTTAGACACCTTAGACTTCTGCAATATGAAATAGATGAATTAATAGATGATATTAGGCTTCATTATAAAATAAAATTGTCCTAGAAAACCAATTTATTTTTATATAGCAAACATTAATTGCCATAAATATGGTGGACCCTGTACAATCATCACGTTATGAAGTACGCACCACAATTCTAATGATCATACTTTGAGGCCTGCTCTCCGTCTATTGCATTGTGGAGCCAATAAAATTTTATCAGGCTTCCTACACTTTTCTATTATCAAGATTGTTGATGGATCCCTCAAAAGTGTTGATGGATTCATATTGAGAATGGGCTATTATGTTTGAAGGCTACATTGTGTTCCTCGAACGATTCAAGAACAAGAAACAACAAGCAAGGTAAGACAACACATATTAATTTTATTTCAATTTATTAAACATGTTTATCGTATTCTGCACCTTTGTTATATACAAGAATAAAATATTTACATAGTACGAGAAATGATGTCATCACCACAACTTGTGTTCGTGCAGCTCAGTCAAAATAGAGGAAAAACATCAAACTACCGACTAAAAAATCTTGATATTATTATCGATTTTATTTATTCAAGTTACAGCCCTACATTTATCGAGCAGTTTATCTGGCAGATTAGTACAGCGCTTGCACAGAACGGAGATCTTACAGATTTGTTGGGTCTGGAGGAGTGCGCATGAATGGACCTCCACTATTGATGTAAGTAATTACCTTAGGAAAGATTGCTGCAGTAACATTCTGTACCACAACGAAGGTATGTAAATTCGAAAGTTATCGATAGAAAAGCATACAACCAATTTTGAAATTTTCAAAGAATCGGAGCATTAAGTTAAGAACCGCTAAAAATGTATATAGATTCCTGGCATGGCACAGGAAACTATATCAAACTGCTGACCATCACCGGGAAAATTTTGAAATTTTCAAAGAATCGGAGCACTGAGTTTAGAATCGTTAGAAGTGTCGATAGATCCCTGGCATGGCACAGGAAACTATATCAAACTGCTGACCATCACCGGGAAATAAATGTACATCTATAAAGCTGCTGCCATTCTTTATCAATATTTGACTAAGAAGCTGGAAAAAGGACGATAAATGATAGTTCGATGCGGTAGAAGATGAAAGACGAGAACTGACAACATCCCCTACACTATTTAGGAAGTACATTATGAAGACAGAGGAAGTTTTCGCTTGAGCAATAGATGTTTAATTGTTTGAACTGGTATCCAGGGAAGTGAAATCAATCCGGTGGTGGTTCACGATTCCACTTTATATTGTTAGGTTTGGTATTCGACACCAGTGATGTTTGTGTTTCAATGAGTTTATAAGGGAACTTGCCTCTATCTAATTACTTTGGTGGAAGTGATGCAGAATATGCACAGGGCGAACCGTACTAGAGTGATCGATAAGAATACGCGCTTATATCAATATAATAATAGTAATTAGAGTAGTGCAGTAGTAATAGTAATTTAAGAATAAGTGGAAGATTTACAGAGGGAGCCAAATACAATTAAGATATCCATTCGAAAAACAATTATTTAAAACGACTGAGACGTACTGAAAGTATATTCAATGGACATAAAAAGTTTTGCAATAATTGGCATAAAAAAAGAAAAATGATAATAATAATCAAATGAAATTATAAGACTTTGACACGGGAAATGAACGAGATGAACATCAGAGAGCGAGCTCTCGAACACTAGTTATTCGATTACAGAAAAAGCCAACATGAAATTTTGTTAGGCCTTTTCATTTATTACGATGGACCGAAGCCTAGTTTGCTGCAACGACTTCGATTGCTTTCACGGTTTAGTAAAAATTCATCATAATGATACCAATTACCGTAGTACTAGCAATATAGTCAATAAAGCATGAATTTCTAGGACCACAGGTTGCTAAACTAGATGAAAATTTTACATCCGGGAATAAATATGTGTTATGGAATATAGTGGAATAAGATAATTTTGATCCCTGGCCTCGCTGCCAGCGTTTCTCGTACATTTACTGAGGGAAAAGCACGTGTAGCTCATTTCTCACACTCTTCTTACTTGAGAAGGGATTGTCTGATGTATAATTAATTCATATGTAGTCAAATGAACGACGCTCATGGTAACTTATACGAAGTCGATGAAAATCACATGAAATTAAGATACAAACTTATCGATAACAATGCCACGAAAACCTAATATGAACAAGTTTTTGTTACGTGCATCAGTTCCTACTTAATGATGCGTTTCTCGGGTATGGCTTTAGTTTATTCACTATAACAGCAGCACAAAATATCAATATTTTCTTTCGTAACAAATATCAATATTTTCTTCCTCGAGATTGAAATATTTGCCCTAATTCTCGTGCTATTTTCAACTATTCATCGAAAAAGATACTGTATTAGAATAAACATATTATCGATGAAAATATATAATTCAAATTATTTGAAAAATACACAGTATTGTTTAGCTAAAATCTTGAAGATTAGTGACTTGCGAGTGTGATTTCAATTGATTATTTACATGTCACTTTTCAATGGGCAAACATCCATGCTCATCTATAATCATGTCCGGTGAAAGATCACAATATTTGACTGAATTGATTTTTTCAGTCAAGTACTGTGAGTGCCTTGAGTGTGAAGCACGATTTCAGTAAAGTGCTCAGGACTTCACAATATACCATGCGATCTCACTGTACTCGAAATCTACGGTCAGTTTCACGAAAAATCATAAAAACTTATGCGATATTATTTAAAATATTCTGATTGTTTTACGGAAACTTTTTTCAGTAATTAACTTATTTGAAACCCGTATAATCAGATATACCAATGTAACACGAATTGAATATATCTTCGATACAAAATACATTATTATGCAGGATCTTACTTATTAGTTGCATTTAGATACAAGTCTTTATATATATTTTGATAAACAAAAGTCGTTATAGAATTTTGTCCAAACATCTTTATCTCACTTGTACTGTTTTGATGCAAGCATGTTTAAATTTACTATTTAATTCGAGCACATCATCAGCCGTAAAAAATTCTACTTCGGAATTTGGAGTCACGATCCTAAACAAACAGGATCAATCGAAAACAAATTTGATAAATTTTACTTCAGAAACGCAGTAAAAGAACGCTTAATGTAAGCGCGTGAAACTTAGCATGGCACTTGAAATGCAACGTAGGCAACCGCAGAGTAAGTATTAGTTCTATGAATTTTTCAACAGTGATTAAAAATGTTTTTCGAGCAAGTGGGCATCAAAATATCGAGACTAATTTGTCCTGTCAAAACAAGAATCTCGCAATTGCTTTCTGTAGCTTTGAGTCGATATGCATTTATGCGAATGGCAGAACCTAATTGTGGACTAGACAAAATTTCTGTATCATGAAAAAATCTAATGAAGTCATTCGAATTCAGAAAATATTATGATTCTCTACTCAAGCTGGAAACTTATTTAAATAAACATCACAGTCAAGCAAATAAAAAATTATTCAAACGAAATAGTGTTTCGAAATTTTTACACGAAGCTGCCACGCGCGTCAAGACATTCTCTGCCGACACGCGACTCTTATAATTATGCTAACAATAGAGAAACTGACGAAGTATGTGTACGTTGAGTTTAGGCTATAGGAGCTTCCTATGTAAACACACAATTGCACGACATCATCATCATACGAAGACTAGTGAACTGCTGATGTGCAGCAGTCATCGCAAATTATATACAGAGTATTAAAGAGCTCAAAGTTTGGTGTTGGTGATCAGGGAGATCGAAAGATCAGAGACTGCAACCTAGTGAACTTTGAGGCGATGGAGGCGCCTGAGATATTATTAATAATTAATAATTAATAATTATTAATTAATAATTAATATAATAATTAATAATTAATAATTTATTATTATTAATAGTTAATATTTGCCTCGTTTTCGAGTTTCGTGTGCAGTTCATGCAGTGGTTCTCCGGAGCTCTCATGAGCTTATTGGTGATAGGGGGTATGAGGAATTTATTAAATTAAACCACTTCAAAAAACAACTACAGCTAATTGATTGGATGAGATTAAATAGACTACGAGAGCAGTTCGAGAGCGTTATGCAAATAGGAATATTTTTCCCTTTATGATATACAAATACTAGTTGTAACATCAACTACCTTAGCCTTTCCCAATCATAAGACGGTTAATTCTCGTAAATCATACAATGATGATCGATCGGAGCGTCGATCGAGTTCAATTGGAAGTAGTCGCGACACAGATGCCGTGTTGCTTATAAGGATTGTGAGGCAGGAACGATAAGGAAGGAGGCGAGGGAGTGAGAAGCTCTACTTCTTTCAGTTGTTATTCCAGACATAATTAATATTTAATGAAAATCGATCAAAAATCACAGGAGAGACTTGTTAAAAGCCAGCTTTGATGTGCCTAGGCTTTTGACGGAGAATCGTGATAAGCACCTAAAATATTTAAATATTCAGCACCGCTAACGAAAAGAGAAATTGAATGAGTTTCAGTCTGATAAACATTCGAATTTTAAGAAAAGTAATATCCAGTAAATTTTACTTGATAATTTGTAATTTTTTGTTCCATTGAAACTTTTTACCTGCCAACAAAACTGAAAAAAATACATTAAAAGAATCATATCCGATAAATAGTTGCACTGGAAAACCTTCAATTCGGTTTCAGTGTAAACCACAAATCCTCAGTGAGATGAGATTAAAATAAACACATAATTTTAACGCACTTAGGACAACAATAATTATAAGCCTAAAAACACGGGGACAGCGTAAGTCCTCGCCAGCAGCGCCGCCGTCGCTGCAGACGCTGCAGCAGCAGCAGCGCTCTGCTGCTCCTGAGGGGACATCAGACGAGGGACATAGTGGTCCATGGCGTCCCTCAAGGAGAGGTCCCTCGGAGGTCTCGTCAGCCATGGATGACTCAAAACCATGGAGGCTGTAGGCCGCATCGTCGGGTCTTTTTGGAGCAAAAGGTGGATGAGATGGCGGGCCCGCGACCCGACCCATTCCGGGACCAGGAAGTCTCCGGAACGGATCTTAAGGAACAGGGCGTTCGTGTCGCAGCCGTGAAAGGGATACCTGCAAGAAAATAATTTATTTAGCAAAGAGATCTTTGTGATAGAATATAACGATACGTGGAAGCCAGTAAATCGTAAATTTTAAAAGAATTCATAATAAGAACGGATGTTCTTCAGGAGCGTGCATTATTTAAATTCATGCATTAGATACAGACAATTGAATTTTTATTTTCTTCCTGCAAATCATACGGTAAAGTAAGTGCCGGAGACGAAAATTTATTTTAAAAATAAAAATATTAAATTTAAATCCAAAATGATGAAATTCAAACGGTAATTTGAGGACAATGAAGAATTCTATTTGTGCATCTGCGTATATGACCTCTGACCCTCTACCACGATGAATAAAATGTCGCCGAGTCCGCGTATTCAGACCAGCCAATTGCTAAGTTTGTTCAGTCATGTCGTATAGAATAGGGATTATTCTATATATAGAGAATTATTATTTTATAATAATTCTAATTATTATCTCATTATCTATATTTAATATCAATTATAATTATTATTATATAGGCTTAATTCTAATAGGGATAATCATGACAAGGTCTTTCATTAATTGTATACACTGAATGTGTATGGCACCCACCTGCCCACAATCATACCAAACTTCATTCATTAATTGTATACACTGAATGTGTATGCTCCCCACCTGTCCACAATCATACCAAACTTCATTCATTAATTGTTGTATGCTCCCCACCTGCCCACAATCATTCCAAACTTCATTCATTAATTGTATACACTGAATGTGTATGCTCCCCACCTGTCCACAATCATACCAGACTTCATTCATTAATTGTATACACTGAATGTGAATGCCTCCTACCTGCCCACAATCATTCCAGACTTCATTCATTAATTGTATACACTGAATGTGAATGCCTCCCACCTGCCCACAATCATTCCAGAAATCATCCATTCAAATAAAAATCATTCATTCATTAGAATTCCTTCGAGACCATAAACATAATTAGGGTTTGCTCTGTCTAGTTGACAGAGTTCATTCATTAATTGTATACACTGAATGTGAATGCCTCCCACCTGCCCACAATCATGGTGAATAGCATGACGCCGAGACTCCACATGTCGGCAGCTCGGCCGGAGTAGGCGGCCGCACGTAAAATTTCAGGTGCCACATAGGCGGGACAGCCGTGCTTGTCTTCCAAGATGTCTTCGGTGCCTGACACTACGCTGTCCTCCAGACTCTCCAGCGATATTGTCTGTCTGTGGACAAGAGAAGTTCTAAGTTATAAGTGAGCCTGTAATAGCAATACTAAATAGGAAAGCAGCGAGATCAAGAAGAATGGTATGAATGGAAAAATATATGCTATGAGAACACAAATCGAAAATTTGTGACAGAACAAGGGCAGTATGCATATAAAAGAAGTAGAAGTTAAAAAATGCTGCGTTGTGCTCAAATTGAAGCCTCGCTAAATCACTATCCGTGATGAGAAGATGCAAGTCGAATTTGTAGCCTTCAATATGCCTGAAATGAATGTTATTATTCAGATTCGTAATAATGAAACAATGTACAGATAAAATTACTTCAGTTAACTACATTAGTTTCGCCATTGGTGATACTTTCTTCTTACACACCGCTTTTTTTTCGCTCTACGTCTCGTACTAATTGCGCTTAATGAGGTCAAAAATCATCAAGTTTTCACAAAATATTTAGATGAATGATGCTGAAAAAATGCGGCCTCATAAGCCAGAGAACCTGTGACATTCAAACCAAACAAAATATTCTCTAGCTTCTATGAAACAACTGCATCTGATATACAAGCTTCTACACGAAAATATCTCTTGACTTCATGCAATATCATCATGGCAATAATGCTTGTACGAGCGACATTTCCCCAGCCAAATTAAAATCCACATTCCAATCTCTTGAAAATTTCCAATAGCCTCTCTATTTCAAGCACCTCGTGTATATAAGGGCCGGCAACCGAGGTCGCTTTCACCCGCGGCTTGACGTGAATCTCACAACGTTCCCTTTCGTCGGCGAGTACAACGGAGCAACGATCTGGGGATGAGGCAGTGAAAGTTTACTAGATCGCTGTAGGTTTGCTTTCACGCGCCAGCATTCTGCCCTGATGTAGAAAAATCTGGCATTATGCTGGTAACTAATTAATGAATGTCGACGCGCAGCCGGCGCAGGCCACGTTCTAATATTTCAAAGTGTGATGGCTGATTAACTGATAATACTCAAATTAAGCAAACGTTCCTCAAATAAAACGCATCAAATTATGACTTGTAAAAATAGTTGCATGGGATTTATACGATTTTGATGTTTTTCAGTCATTTTCAAAATACTGGCTTAGACATGCAACGACAGATTTGGAAGACCGAAATTGTTGATAGCAGTAAAAAAGTATCTACGAAGAAGAATTGTTTGGTTACGTTTTCAGAATGATACTCAAAATATAATTTGTATAGTACTCTACAGAGTTCCCTGCACGAAATAATAATTGTATCTTGACGTTCTCAAAATTATACTCAAAACATAATTTGTATAGTACTCCACAGAGTGCTCTGCAGGAAATAAAAATTGTTTGGCGATGCTCTCAAAATGGTACTCAAAATATAATTTGTACAATACTCTACGGAGTTCTCTGCAAGAAATGCCTCGTTGGAATAAGAAAAATAAATTCGAAGAATCTTTGGAAGCTTGATGACTGATCTCACTGTACATTATTCGTCTGGCTGCTGACGATGAAGATTAGGGCCAAGTTTTAACCGAAGAGAAAGTCTCAGAAGAAACAGGCGCCAGTTTCAACCTTAGCCTCGATTTCACTTTCGTCGGTGACCACGCACACTCATACGTATACCTTTCATTGAACGTCGGCGAAAGTGGCGTGGAAAGTGAGAGTGACTGCGCGTGTGTCGTCGAGAATGCGTGCCGCTGCTGCATGAGTTATGCGTTATAGGCCACAATAGCCTTCACTGGACCAAATTTCGAATTGAAAAACAAATGTCGGTGACATTCCTATGCAAAGAATATTCAAACAAAACTTGAGTTTATGTAAACAAAATTTGGTTCGAGGCACAGAGTTGAGCGGACATCTATGCCGTCGGATTTTCAAATAGAAAATTTTTTCAAGCAGACAATTTTCCAGAAACAATGAAGGCATTGCAAGCATTGTTTTGGAACCCTCACCGTCAGGTTTTCAAATAACATTTGAGTTCATGGACGCCTGCCGGTCGGTATCCTGTCTACCGTGGTTCATAGAGCGTGATACCGGCTACTTAAAGAACATTTGAGCCCATAATGGACCCCGGTCGTTGGCCTCACTGCCTGGTTTTAAGAAACATTTGAGCCCATGGAGGCCCCACTGTTAGGTAGCCAAACTGCTGGGTTTTTAGGAACTTTTCAAGCCATGTATGCCACCGGTCAGTAGCCTCACTACCGGGCTTTAATGAACATTTGAGCCCATATACTGGGGTCTCCATGTGGAGGCCCCGGTCGGTAGTCTCACTACCGGGTATTAAAGAACATTTGAGCACATATACTGGGAGCACATATACGGAGGCCCGCGGGCGGTAGCCTCACTACCGGGGTTTTAAAGAACATCTAAGCCCATATACCGGGGTCTCCAAATGGAGGCCTCGTTCGGTAGCCTCACTACCGGGTTTTAAAGAACATTTGAGCCCATATACTGGGGTCTCCATGTGGAGGCCCCGTTTGGTAGCCTCACTACCGGGTCTTAAAGAACATATGAGCCCATATACCGGGCCTCCATACGGAGGCCCGCGGGCGGTAGTCTCACTACCGGGTTTTTAAAGACGATCTACCGAGCTAAACTGCACCACAAGTTCGACTGGTCGGCCGCTGCCCTCTTTTGGCCGCACTGCAACCTAACGTCATGAGAGCGTTAAAGATGAGAAGTTAAGGTGAATGCAATCCTTAAAGATGCAAGACGAATTTTTTATGATTATCGATATCAGGTGTAGCACAATCAAGATAATCACCGGCTGAAGGAAGTATGAAAATATTTTTGTAAGGAAAATAATATTTATTTGAACTACACTTGGGCTAAAAAAACAGGAAACTAAAAACAAACCTCACAAGAAACTACAATGAAAGTATTGTGAATGAGAAATAATTGTTCATCTGCAATTTACTGTTTCTTAGGCAAACCCTATGTTAGTTGCGGTCCTTGTACCAGGCGGGGAATTAAAATTTCTCAGCACCTTACTACTTAAACTTTATATAATAAATAAATAAATAAATAAATTCTAGAGAGGGTATAGAGTTTGCGTGGGAGAGTCGACCAAAGAGGTCGGGTATCGTATGGGGCTGTACGACGGATGTGTAACGTGTGAACCTCCATCCCCTCACGCTCTCTAATCCCCTTACGGGCGCATCCGGCGCTCGGGCAACGCATGAAATGCGCAGCGGAAATGCGAGAATGCAGGATTAATAAATCTTTTATTTTGAGCGCATTTTCCGCAGTCCGATCCCAGAATATGAGTACCTAATTAATTGGTTTTCAAGAAGCAAACATCGTTCATAACCGAACTGAACTTCAGTCTAAAGAAACGAACGTTAAAGCATCACTGGATTAAAATATTAAACGTTGTGTAGTCTACTGACCGATTCGTGAACGTACTTTATCGCTAAACTCAAAAGCTTGGAGCAGTACTTCATTAGGAACTGTTAAACATGCAATCAATTAGTAATATTCGAAGTGGTTAAACATTAAAATAAAATGCTGTATAGACTAAAATGTATGTTCTTGCTTAAATACAAATTATGAAAAATCATCGATAATGCCTCGCAAAATAGTGGCAGCGATTAACCAAGGACAAGCCTTGGGATTAATGCTCGATAATTTTTATATTGGAACGTAATTTTTTGTCTGTGGTGACTGAAAAAAAACCTGATACTGAATAATGAGATGAAGTGCTGTCACAAATTCTTGAGCACATATTCTTTTAAAATTTTAAGATATTTTATTATTTGGTATGTTTTAGCATTTAGTTTGCTCATGCGTGCAAGTAAGTTATCTTGTAATAATTACGTAGATAAAATACAGACAACTATAATTAATATAGTCAAGACCGCTCAACACTAAGAAATGTGGCAAAGAAATTAAAATTCAGCGACTGCTCCGGTGGAACAGGATAGATTTTCATTCATAGGGTTTTTCAGAAGGATAGGCATGACGTAAGGGTAATCAAGTTTAAACTTAACCACCGAAGCGTACAGTTTATATGCACTCGATTTATAATAGAGAGTAAACTCAGAAACAGGAATACCACTGAGAACGTGACGTTGCCAATATCAGGAGGTGACATTGCAAAAGACCGTGCAGAAAAAATAAACCGAAATATAACATTGGGGTTATACCGTCTGAGCCCCAGCAGTGCCCCTGAATACATCAACTGAGCTGATGTATGAATGAAGGATGTAACGTCTATGAATGACAGTTTGCAGGGGAGCATATCTTCGTGATAGTTTAAAATTAAGACTGTCACACTGACTCACAAACTAAGATGTTTAGCAAAAAATGAGCAGTTATGAAAGAATTTGAATTAATTTCTAGCAAAAGTACTTAAATTAACCGAATAAAATTCCAAGAACAATGATATTGAACGGCGATCGAAAGTGTAATTGTTCTATCACGGAATGAGAGTCGTTCACTCTTGTTTCTTACTGATCTAATTTAATTGAAATTTATTGAAAATTGAAGCAGGTAACCAGAGACGCACGTCAAGGTAATGAACTTCTAAAAGCAAGACAACCAAGACCGATGTGCCGAGCGGCAAAAAATGAACAAGACTGCATGAGTAAAAAAAAACCTTTTGAGTGGGATTTTGCAAGACTTAAAAACTGCCCCTTGCCAAACTCGTATGCGGGAATTTACGCATCGATTTTTGCAAATATTTTTTGCGCTTGGTTTGCGGATGCAATTTGTTGATAGGAGTCGGGCTGGAAATAACTTGAAGAGCCCTAGTCATCGAGACGAGGAGGCATCTGTATCCTACGCAAATGAATATTCATAAAATGACCACCAAAATTACGTTTTACTTCAATATTTTGCTTAAGTTGAGAGGTCATGTGAAAAATATTTTATGCAGGTATATATCATATCATATTTTATTCAGGTCCATGTTGAACGTGCTTTTTTGCATTGAATTGATACGTCATTTCAATGAAGGTTAGGAAAGGTAGAAAAAAACAGGAAGGTAACACTGGATATACAAATCATATTAACGTCACA